AAATATTCTGTATATATATATATATATATATATAAAATGTATATTAATATATTTTACTACAATATTATAAATATTAGAATTTATATATTTACTATGTTGTTATAGTACATATTTTGTACTATGTTGCTACTTGTTAGTGCTATTATTATTAATTAGATTTCTTAGTATATTTATATATATATTTAATATATTATAAAGTTGCAATATATATTTACTATATATGTTGCTATAATCTATACTATGTTTAGTGCAACTATACAGTATATTGCAACATATTCAACATATAAATAAAAATATAAATACATTAAAACAATATAAATATTATAAGAACTTCTACTAGTATATAATATAACAACATGTAGAATATTATAATACAATTATATATAACATTAAATATATAACTATAAATAAGATAATAAAACATAAGTAGTATTATGGTAACATATACTGTTAAAATAGTAAATAGAGGTTACACTGATTCCATGTTTTTATTTCTATTTTGATTTTTGATTTTTTTAAAGAAACTATGAGAATTGAGACAAAATGATGGTGAGAACAATTGAGATAATGGTAAGATGCGAAAAGTCACAAACTCAGGTCCCATGTGCAAAAACACCAAATCACATGCTTTATACTCCATGCCATTTCTACACATCCAAATTGCAATTTTGCTTTTTTTCCCCCCACTCCTTGATTATTGGGGAGCAAAAGGCCTCACCGTGTGGTCAGTGCTATTGACACCCAATGCGAAAAAGTCAGTGTTTAAATTAATGCAAATAAAAGATTTTCTGCAGGACATTTTATAGCATGTAAGGGGAGAGCAAGAGATAAAGAGAGAGAGAGAGCAACGAGACTTTTAGGGTAACGCCTCCAGCTTTCATTTTAATTAGTTTGATTGTGCATTAAATCATCAGATCCTGAAATAATAAGAGAACTGCACCTTTCCTCTCTTTCATCACCATCCTAAGGGTTGTTCCAGAAAAATATGTGCCACAATAAAACTGACCTGTATAGAGGTACTAAATTTATACCTTGTATTTGATGAGATTAGATGAGAGAAAAGAAATACGACAAAACAAGAAACTAGAAGAGACTACATGAGATGAGAACTGAAGAGACCAGATTAAACAAAATGAGATAAAATGAGGCAAAACATAAATAAACGAGAAAAAAGAGAAGAGACTAAATAAAAAAATAAAATAAACAAGAGAGAAGAGACCAGATGAGATGAGATGAAATAAGACAAAACATAAATAAGACATGAGCTAAGAGACCAGATAAGATGAGATGAAATAAAAAAAAGAGACAAAACGAGACAAAATAAGAAACAAGACATAAGAGAAAAGAGACCAGATCAGATGAGAGAAAATAAATGAGACAAAATAAGAAACAAGAGACCAGATTAGATTAGATTAGATTAGATGAGTCTTAAAGAGACCAGATGATATTATATTAAATTAAACGAGAAAAGAAACAAGACATGAGAGAAGAAACCCAATAAGATGAAATTAGATGAGAATAAAATGACAAAACGAGAAGAATCGAAAGAAGAGTAAAGAAAATGAACTTGCAAGAGAAAATATGAGAAAAGGTGAGACAAAAGAAAGAAATCAACACAATAAAAGGGAAGAGACACATGAGAAAAGAGAAGCAAGAAGCGAGAGAAGAGAAGAGAAGAGAAGAGAAGAGAAGAGAAGAGAAGAGAAGAGAAGAGAAGAGAAGAGAAGAGAAGAGAAGAGAAGAGAAGAGAAGAGAAGAGAAGAGAAGAGAAGAGAAGAGAAGAGAAGAGAAGAGAAAAGAAACAAGATGAAAAAGAGAAGATACTAGAAAATAAACTAAATGAGACAACAGAACAGACAACAAGAGGACAAGAAGAGAAGAGACGAAAGAAGAAAACAGACGAGACGAGAAGAGAAGAGATGACGCGCGACGACACAAGACCAGAGGAGAACCAGTTCACAGTGTGCAGATGAAACGGTACAGGTCAAAGTGCTAATGTGGCTCATCTCAGCTCACAAGGGGGCTAATTAAATAGTTTCTGATTAGCAAGTGTTGAGCAGCCTGTCAAAGAGGGGGTGAAATTAAACCTGGACCCCGGCACACAATGACACACCTCACAAACGCAGTCAGACACGACCGCTAGTGTAAATCAACCCTGAACCTACAAGACCTAGACGACAGACCTAAATCTACAACTATTTCAGATCTCAGCGCTCAACCAGACATCTGCTTGCTTCAGTTCCACCCTCCTCTTCCTCTTTTCATATAACAGTTTAAAGCATCAGCTTTACACATGAGATATTCTGAATGGTAAAGACTGTCTATCTGTCCTCTTTGCACACTCTCGTTCACATACTTCTCTTTTTTCTCCTCCTCTCTTTTTCCCTTCCTGCTCTTGGCATGTGCGCTTGGTTGCTCCTTGTTAGCCAGGCTCTTCTCTCTCACACATACAAACGGCGGCGGTGGTCTTAACGAAGCCGGTCTGTGGAATGGGATTACAGGGACATGACAGAGGGGTCCTAATAAGCTACACACAGGAAGAGTCTCCCCTACAGAGTGCACAGGACAAAGACCTGCTGACCGGAGCGTTCACACACACCTAGAACGCCAGTAAACAACTGGCAATTGCTAAAACACTACATTATAACTCATGAAACTAAAATTTGAAAACAATATGAGCGCTGTTTGCCCATGCAAAACTCTCAGTCATGGTGCTAGTGAGTGGTTGAGGGCATTGCTATGCGCTTGCTAAACAGTTCTGAGAAGTTTTTGAAGTGTTGCAATTAGGTTGTTAGTATACAATCCATGATCATACAAGCATCAACAATTTCTATACAATTTTTCCCAATAGGAAAAAAATAAATAATTAGTTGGGAACTCACGCAACAGGCTGAAATTGCACCATAAACACACACTCATTGTGCAGGGCCACTGATTTTGTATAGAAAAACATTTATATGACACTTGAGGTGAGTCTTGACATAATGCTGGAATACTGGTACACCAGAATCATAGATTAAATTGTTGGAATGGAACATGACAGGAGAAAAACTACTGTCAGAAGGGCAGTCAGTACTGTATGTGTGTGTGTGTGTGTGTGTAGGTTTTCCCAAAGTGATGGCACTCAGGTAGAGAGGAGTTCAACCTCGGTTGACCCCAGCAGTATCACTCTGTGGGTCAGTGAGGTGTGATCCAACCCAGAGCCTCCAGCCAATCACACAAGAGACAAATCTGTAGCCAATTAGAGTGCAAGGCTGTGCCTGGTGTGTAATGTGTGGATTTTTTTGGGGGGTTGAGGAGCCTGGGTGTGTATAGTTTGCATTCCTTTCAACCAAGCATTGCCCTTTTGTTTTAAGGTCAGGCTTTGATTGGCTGATGGGATTATATAAAGGATGTTGATCCAGGAATGTGTTAAGCATAAGTTCATGTCTTACCAAGTTCAGGAGGCAGAACAGTGAGTCTGTTCCCTTGAATGTGAAGTTCCTTCAGCTGAGCCAGATCTCCAATCTCTTTGGGTAGAGATATGAGGTCATTGTCCCTCAAACTCAACTGAAAAGAAAGAGAAACTGTCAATATTTAAATAAGTTTTTTTTATAAGTATTGGATACAATATGAAATCAAAATAATCAACACTATAAAAAAATTCTGTTAAATTTACGGTAAAAAAACGGCAGCTGGGGTTGCCAGAATTTTACCGTAAAAAATACAGTAGCAGTGTTTTAGGTTTTACGGTTTTAACGTAAATTTCATTAACTGATATAATGATAATATACCAACCCACTGAAGTTTTGTACCTTTGTAAACACTGCACCAAAAGCAGGTGGTGATGAGAAAATCACATGATGAACCAAAGCCTATCACAAGCAACTTTTAAATATTAACATATATATAAGGTGTACAGTGTCATTCCCACAAACACTAAACACCATCATGGTAACACATATGAAACTGAAATAATGCAATAAACATGAATTGAACAACATTAGATGTAACATATACCCCTAAGGTACACAACTGATAAGAAAAAACTAAGAAGAAACATAGTTATTTCAACAAAAAAACATCAAATTTGAAATGTAACGCAGGGAATTCTGGGAATGTCAATTTACGGTTATTCACTTTAAATTATACAATCTTTTTCACTTCCAAAAACGGTATACTACTGTAAAATTACATGTAATGTCCAATACAGTAGTTTTTCACAGTATATAGTAGGGGAACTTACCGTTAACCATTTAACAGGTTTTTACTGTAGCATTTTTACAGTCTTTTACAGTTAAATTCACAGTCATTTTTTACAGTGAATCATTTAATTTCTTAATAAATGTCTGTGGCCTTATCAAGCATTATTTATTCATGCATGTGACTCTAAAAAAATACAAATATAATTAAAAAATAAGTTCATAATCTTTCATCAATTTTTGTCATATTTAAAATAACAAAATATAATAAAATATGATCATCTATGATCCAATAATCAATCTTATTTACTTATTAATTCTGCCTATTACTCTGTTACTCCTATTTTCCAATGTTCTTACTAATCTTATTACTCTATATAAATGTCCCTTGTCTTATCCATTTATATATGATAAACGGAGCGTGATTTATATATTCATGTGACTCTAAAAATAAAATAAATAAATACATTTTATAATCATATTTTATATTTCATATTTTCAAAATGTAATAAATATTTAATCTTTCATCAATTCAACATGGATAAAATCAAGCCCCTAAATTATATTTCACTGAATATTCAGTTTTACTCAGAAATGTCACATAGTGGAAGCTAAATGTATTGCAAACATTGTTTCATTATATTTTAAAAGAAATATTGCAACATGGTTTTCATAAACACAGAAAATAACTTCAACTCTAAATTTTCAACTCTAAAAACAAGCAAACACAGCATCTACAGTAAAACAATTACATTAGAAGTCTTCAGGGCAACCTGTGGGGTATAAAAGCAGAGATGTGCAACTTTTTAGTCTTGCTGCTATACTTTCCTAGAGCAATTTCTTGTCCCATAGACTTCCATTGCAAATGCATTATTGTACATGTGATTTTTGATTGCTTTTACAAACTGTGGGGCAAGTCGAAATAACTTTCAGTGGTTACTGACAGCATCTCATAACACTTGCATTCTAAAAATCACGGCTGTAATTACACCTATATTTTAACGCAACACCAAACCAAAATAGCTGAATATTATTTTCAAGTTCAAAGTTGTAATTATCAGCTGTTTTATGTATCTGTGACCCTGCATTGAGTCTGATCTTAGTGAGCACAGGGGTGAAGATCAGCCTCTAAATCACCTCTCACCGCATCTGATAAAGAACACACGCTGCGGAGAACAAATCCAACACACACGGCACAGAGCGCCACAAAAGCAATTGATTTCAGAGGGAATTTAGATAAATTACTCACTATCTGTAGCTTGGCCAGCTTGCCGATGTCTGGGGGCAAAATCTCAAAATCGTTGTCACTGAGATAGAGTGCACGGAGGGTAGCTGAAATGAATTGCTTCCTTAGACCAAAACAAACAACAATAAAAAGGCTAGGAAGTGCAACTGATTTATTTTTTAAACATTTGATAATTTAGTTAGAATAACAGACTGGAAGCTTTAAAAGGAGGGTGGTGCTTGAAATCATTGTTCATTGTTAACTATGGTTACCTGCAAAGAAACATGTGCAGTTAAACATTTAACATTTATTTTTAGGATTCTAAGTTTGATGAATAGAAGCATTTATTTCAAATAGAAATATTTTGTAACATTATAAAAGTCTTTACGGTCTCTTTTTTTTAATCAATTTAAAGCACGCTTGCTGAATAAAAGTATTCATTTAATATCCTACTGACCCAAACGGTATTGTAATTTAATTCTGTAAATTAAAAAAAGTTTTAGGAATTTGAAAAATAGTTTATGTTTTAATATAGGAAATATTCCAGTCACTAAAGCAAAAGCAGGACCATTTTTAAATCAAATTTTAACTCAATTCAAATAAAAACCTGTGCACTCTGATATCCGTAAAATTGCTAGCCAATCAGAACTGAGCTACATTTTTCAACTTTCTTCATTTTAGTACAGAATATGCAACATTCCATAAGTGGTCTTTAGTTTTGAATGATTAAAAATGACAGGTTATACCGGTAATGAATTGTGTGTGTTGCAAACTTACTGAGGTAAAAGAAATTCCCAGGCAGTGAGGACTCGTTCAGGTTGTTGTACGTCAGATCCAGAACCTCCAGCGCCGGAAGAGATCCAAATCCTCGCGGAAGAGTGCTCAACCTATTCATCCTACAAAACAATAAAACGCCATTTTAACCAAATCAACAGCTTCAAACACAAACTCAAACACACATCCACTCACAGACACACACTTATAAAACACCTGTCAATTCTTGACACAGGGGAACCCATTGAAAATCCATAACAGACTGACTCAGAGACATGAGACAGAGACAAGCAGTCCGCACAGATCCATCTCACTGATTATGATTGATATTTCAAACGCAGCACAGATTTATAACACAGCTCAACAGATCTACTCACATTTATAATCTCAAAGTTAAATACAGAGGGGTCCAAAAGTCTGAGATCAATTGTGAAAGTGTGAAAGCATGCATTTCCATTTTGAATTTTACTAATTTAATTCAACATTTTAATTACAAATTATCAGCATAACCATTTGAGTTAAAAATCGAACTGAAAAAAAAAAATGCAAGAATGTCTTGCTATTTGGTTTGTCCCCCTTTGTTTTAATGAGTGAAACATTTCTTTCACTCATTAAAGCAAACAGATTTTTTTTATGTCTAAATTTGTGTTAAATTTATATAAACTATAAAGGCCACAGTAAAAACATTTATAATGTTAAAAAAAGATTTACATTTCAAATAAATGTTGTTCTTTTGAACTTCATAGTCATCAAAAGAATACTGAAAAAATGTCAGTTTCAACTAAATTTTAAAGCAGCACAACTGTTCTCAATATTGATAATAATAAGAAAGGTTTATTTAGCAACAAATTCACATATTAGAGTGATTTCTGAAGGATTTTGTGATGCTGAAAACTGGATACAAAACAGATATTTTAAATTGTATTATTATGTCAGTTTCAACTAAATTTTAAAGCAGCACAACTGTTCTCAATATTGATAATAAGAAAGGTTTATTTAGCAACAAATTCACATATTAGAGTGATTTCTGAAGGATTTTGTGATGCTGAAAACTGGATACAAAACAGATATTTTAAATTGTATTATTTCACAATATTACTGTTTTACTGTATTTTTGATCAAATAAATGCATCCTTCAGACTTTCAAAATTAATACAAACTTTTGAACAGTAGTGTATATTTGAATCCCAGATTTTCAATATGGTCTCAGACATTCACACAACACTGTTAAGAGGGAATTTAAATTACTCACTATCTGTAGCTTGGCCAGCTTGCCGATGTCTGGGGGCAAAATCTCAAAATCGTTGTCACTGAGATAGAGTGCACGGAGGGTAGCTGAAATGAGAGAGAGAAGAGTGTGTGTGTGTGTGTGTGTGTGTGTGTGTGAGAGAGAGAAGTATTGCAAACACTGATCAATAGAAACGGTCATCTCTGATTGATACAGCATGGCTGCAATATTACACTCAAGTACACATGCAATATCAACAGATCGACAAATAGCATCAAATACACACTCACACGGTGTAGTTGAGCACCACATGGGCAAACACATTAAAGCAGTAAACAATTAAATAAATAAAAAAAACCTACACAAAACAGGGCCACAACTAATATGTATTTTGATAATCTGGAACTGGGATTTTTAAAAAGCCCCATCAACTTCCTGTCCATTCAGTGTTCTGATTGGTTAAAGCAACAGCAACAGCCAATCATATCCATTTCAACTTGCTTTAGAAGTCAATATCACAGCTGATATGACAGCCACTCCAAACAGCAGTGATAAATGGAGGTTTGGGAGCGTGTGTATGAGCGTGTGTATGAGTGTGTGTGTGTGTGTGTGTGTGTGTGTGTGTGTGTGTGTAGAGATAAGAGACCTCGATTAATGTACCCTTTGTTTTAATGAGTGAAACATTTCTTTCACTCATTAAAGCAAACAGATTTTTTTTATGTCTAAATTTGTGTTAAATTTATATAAACTATAAAGGCCACAGTAAAAACATTTATAATGTTAAAAAAAGATTTACATTTCAAATAAATGTTGTTCTTTTGAACTTCATAGTCATCAAAAGAATACTGAAAAAAATGTCAGTTTCAACTAAATTTTAAAGCAGCACAACTGTTCTCAATATTGATAATAAGAAAGGTTTATTTAGCAACAAATTCACATATTAGAGTGATTTCTGAAGGATTTTGTGATGCTGAAAACTGGATACAAAACAGATATTTTAAATTGTATTATTTCACAATATTACTGTTTTACTGTATTTTTGATCAAATAAATGCATCCTTCAGACTTTCAAAATTAATACAAACTTTTGAACAGTAGTGTATATTTGAATCCCAGATTTTCAATATGGTCTCAGACATTCACACAACACTGTTAATAACAAAATAACAAAAAGTTAATGTTCAGTTAGTTCACCAATATTAAAAATGTGTTTTGTCTGTAAATGTTAAAATCATATTCGCCCTTGAAAGGTAACAGATTAAATTTTGGCTGGAAAACTTCCGACAGAGAACATGGAATCTGAAATTAGAAGTGCTCAAGGTGCCCAACGACGCAGATAAAACAAGAGAGAGAGCAAGAGAGAGAAAAAGAGAGAGAGGGGCACCCAAATCAGATGCTGATTAACTCTTGCTTACTTAAGCGTCTGTCCTCCGTCTTTCTTTCTTTCTTTCAAATGACACTTGCTTGCCGTGAAGACTCTGAAACTTTGGCAACGGATTTCAAAGAAACAAACAAATTGATTCCACCACTTGTTTGTGAAGCAATTACCAGAGAAAGGGAATTGTTTTGACAAATGAGATCAGGATAACGGGCGGCCACATGCTCACACGCACATCCGCACTTTTGAGTCAGGAGTAGCGGCCAGGAATACAACAAGCCGGCTTATGTTTTCAAGATTATGTGTAGAAATGGTGCGTCTGACAGCAAATCGATAAAAATGTGCGGAATCAGACGCGGGGCAGATTGTGCCGTGCTTTAATCCTGCGTGACATTGTGGATGCTCCGCCCTTGGAGGAGAAGGAGAACCCTCGGGATTTGGGTGGGGCTCAGGTGCGCTCCGAACACCAGGGAATGACCAGATGACCAGGGATATAAAGAGTCAGAGAGGAAGAAGAACAAAGGAAGACAGCGGCGCTACTACTGTCAAGGCGAAAAAAGATGGTAAAGGAGAGGAGATGGAAGAAGAGACAAATCGAGATGAAGCAAGGGAAAAGTAAAGAAGACAACAAGAAGAGAAAAACAGTATCAGAAGAGATGAGAAAAGAAAAGATGAGACAAGAGGATATAAGAGGAGAAGAAACAAGAGGAAGGAAGGGGGAGGAGTGAAAAAATGAAAAGATGCAAAGAGACGCCAAGAGAACAAAGGTGACAAAAAAGACAAGAAGACACAATAACTGAACAGACAAAATAAAACAAAACAAAAAAATGAGAAGAGAAGAGAAGAGAAGAGACGAAAAGGAAAAAGGAGAGAAGTGAAAAAAGATGAAAAGATGAGAAGAGACCAGATATCAAGAGAAATGAGACAAGAAAAAAAGACAAGAGGTGAGATAAGAAAAGAACAGACAAGAACAGGCAAAACAAAATAAAGAGAAGAGAAGAGAAGAGAAGAGAAGAGAAGAGAAGAGAAGAGAAGAGAAAAAAAAGGAAAAAGGAGAGAAGTGAAAAAAGATGAAAAGATGAGAAGAGACCAGATATCAAGAGAAATGAGACAAGAAAAAAAGACAAGAGGTGAGATAAGAAAAGAACAGACAAGAACAGGCAAAACAAAATAAAGAGAAGAGAAGAGAAGAGAAGAGAAGAGAAGAGAAGAGAAGAGAAGAGAAGAGACGAGACGAAAAGGAAAAAGGGGAGAAGTGAAAAAAGACGAAAAGATGAGAAGAGACAAGATATTAAGAGAAATGAGACAAGAAAAAAAAGACAAGAGGTGAGATAAGAAAAGAATAGACAAGAACAGAACAGACAAAACAAAATAAAGAGAAGAGAAGAGAAGAGAAAAGAAGATGAAAAGACACGTGACAACAAGAAAATAAAGACAAAATTTGAGATAAGAAAAGAAAAGAAGAGACAAGACGAGACAAAACAAAATAGAATAAAAAAAACAAACATAAAAACAACACAAAACAAAACAAAAACAAAATGAAAATAAGGAGGGAAAAATAGACAAAACAAGCTGAAAAGAGATGAGAAAACAAGTGATGAGACATCAGACTAACCCAAGGTTGAGATGTTTAAGTTTCTGCATGCTACTGATCTGGGTTGGAAGCTCCTCAATCTGATTATTGAACATGTTCAAAACTTCCAAGTTCTTCAGGTCTGCAATGTTTGGAGGCACAGCTAAAAAGAGAGAGAGATAGTGAGAGTAAACAAATTAATAAATTAATGAGAACAACTTCAGTTCTGCAGGTTTCATCAATCTCATCAATCAAAACATTTCAATTGACTGTATTCTAATCACCAAGGTAAAGCATTCCCAAACGAGCGACGAGGTCCAATGATCAGAGACTGAAGGTTTTCTGGTGACCTGCAGAGGTTTAACGACTAATTATCAGAGTCAGCAAATAGACGTCCCGTCTTTGATGGCTCAATTATGGGTCACTCCCCCAGCGTAAACCTTAGCATAACGGATCAGCAGCACCCCTCCCGCAAGGCCACCCTGCCCCTTTCTGCTGTCGACAGAGATCGATGGGCCGAACAGGCGCTCTATCCGATTCCTGGCTGATCAATGGCCCCTCATTAAGGAGGAGGGGAGGTGGGAGAGGTTTACACAAACAGCATGACACGAATTCCTCCAGAGAGATCAACGAGAGCTGCGCCGCCCCAGACACGGAGGAACAAATGATTCAGCTGTCACGCAAACAATTCAAAACTCCAACAAAGAAACACAAACACGAAAGCACATGCTCTCACAGCACTCTTCAGCTCATGTGCTTGCTAAGAAACATTGGTATTACTTTATAATAAACATTCACAAATAACAAATTAATTTGTGAAATAATAGTAAATAAAATTAATAGTAAAATAAAATAGTAAAATAAATGTATTACTAATACTACTTATTCTAATTATTTCTAATTATTAATAAATGAATTTGCTTTAAACAAATGTTTACTGCAAAGTGCAAAGCTGCAAAGCATATGCTAATATGACTAAATTAACTGTTTAATAATTATACAAGAATAAAAGCTGTTAACAATGTTATTATATAATTATAATAGTAATTATATAATGATATTATTATTATTATTATTATCATCATCATCAATAATATATTTATAATATGAATTATACATTAATAATTAATAATATTATTATAATATTAAATATTATAATTTATTTAATAATAAACAATAACAATGAAAACCAATTACTAATATTATATACTCAGTATATACATGCACTTGTTAATAACAAACATAAATTATTATGAATTATTATTATTATCAATAATAATAGGAATATATAAGCAATTTATTTAATAATAAACAAAAATAATGAAAAGATGTTACCAGTGTTATATACTCAGCCGATTGTGTACATTCTGCACATTAATTTGTTAATTAAATACATAAATACTACTACTACAACTAATGATAATAATAATAATATTAATAATAATAATGTTAACAATAATAATAATAATGTATGAATTCATTCTAAACAATAATGATAATGAAAAGCCATTTTCAAATGTTATGTAATCAGTAGATCAAGTACATTCAAATAAGTGACTAATTGTTTGATATTATATTTATATGCAACTATTTGAATGGAACTTTGAAAGCTATAACATTGAAAGTGTTACAGAAATGTACATTTTTCAACACAAAAAAGTTGTAACAAATTGTTGTGTCCTTGCTAGCTGAGCATGTTTCAGTCTGACCATCCAATTCACAATTTTCGCATCTATCCTCTGACCTTTTCACCCATAAAAATACTTGAAACATACGATTTGTTTCCAAGTGTCTCAACGGAACTGTAAACGCACCAAGAGACACTGCAGAACACCGAACCCTTCGCCCCATGTCAGGGTCCCTGTACTCTTCTCCAAATGACACACAAGATTGAGCTCAGTTCCGCCTTCTCCATCCTTAAGACACACGCCTCCACCAGACATCTACACTTTATCATCTTAAACCACAGACTGGGCTCGAAAGCGCCACCGACTTTTTACAACCACAAGTTGCGAGTACAAAATCTGCCTGTAAATGCATTCTTTTAAATGTGTGTGCGCTTTATTGGAGCCTTTAAAACAGGCAGAAAAGGCTGATGGTAATAGAACAAAGAATATACGCCTATACAGAGCAGAAAGGTTTGGCCCTCTCTCCTCTCAGTCTCATTACCTGAGCTGCTGCCTGCCTGGGCCGAACAGCAGCCCTGCTTTACTCATGAGCCACTAATGAAAGGGTTCGAAATGTCACTGTAATTCTTGACTACCCTGAAAAGTTCAAGATGGCAGATTCCCTGTCTCTGCTCTTTAACCAGGCAGGATGAGAGAGCGGAGAGGAACAGAGAAGGGGAAAATGCAGAGTGGCGAGGAACAGACAAAAAAAAACACTCTATCTTCTATAGAGTGGAGTCCAGGAACAAACCGAAATTGTGATATTTTTTTTTTTTTTCGTATCTCAAAAAACATGGCCACCATTGGCCAGTGAAGAGTATACAATGATATACAATTACACAATTTTTTTTTTTTTTTTTTTTTAAGCCTTAAAAAATTTAAAAGGGATTCAAAAAAGTTTTTTTTAACAATTAATTAATTTTAAAATTAAGAAGAAATATTTAGGATTTATATTCATGACTACACACATCAATTAAATTTTGAGTTTTAATAATATAATAATTAATATTATTAATTTCTTAATATATATTTCACTTCCCATTTATTTTAATTTATTTTTTAAAAGCAAAATACAAGCATTTTCCTTGTGGTCTCAGACTTTTGGACCCCACTGTGTATTCATACAGTTTCATTTTTCCCTCTTTATTTAAATCAGTAACAGACAAGCAGTGTGCTCCATAATGAAATAATTTCCTCATATTCAAATCATATAAATTGTATTAAACGGCTTTGAACATTACTTCAGACTATAATAACAATGTGATATTTTTATATATATATATATTTCATTTCACATTTATATTTATAGTACTTTTAATAATACATCAAAAGATTTACAATCAAGAAGTCAGGGGTGTCTGTGCCAAAGGAAAAATCAGTGTTAGGGGGGGAAAAAGGTAATATATTATAATATAATATAACATAATATAATATTTATAATAAGACAAAATCAAAATAGAAGCATTTTACTAGTGACCTCATGCTTCTGGACCGCATAAAGATTTTTTTCTCTTGTTTAAACCAGCTACAGTCAAGTGGTGTGACCCGTAACGGATTGAGTCATTTCCTCATCTTCATATCTTATAAATTGTATTAAAAGGCTTTGATCATTACTACAGACGCTACCTGACGGATATGTGCATTATCACACCGGGATCTTCATGGAGATTAAGGGAAAAGATTCCTGCATAAACAAACAAATCCCCGACCAAACACTTCCTGTACAAATCAGATGAGAGTGAACATGGCTCAGAGCGGTTAACATGGACCCAAAGATTACGTGGGAGGGGAAAACAAGCTCCAAACTACACTGAAAAACATATTTCTCCTAATAATAACTCTCTGAATAACTCTTAACTTATGCAGACTATCTTTAAACTCACATGTAAAAGAAAAAAGAACGTGAATGTTCACAGATTGCGATGAAGATGTTACCAACTACTAATCTTCACTCTTTTTTACTACGGTACTTAAACGGAGCAGAATATAAAATCAAACAACCAGTGATCAGTAAGGGCAAGACAGCCATCTAGTGGAGTTAACCAGTTCTTTCAAAAACCCTCATGAACCTACAGTCTCAATACAATATTAAACTTGTAAAATTGTTAAATATAATGCAATAAAGCAATTAAATAAATTAACCGTTATAAAAGCATCTCAAATAAAGCAAGCAAACAAGACAAATATTATTTGATTTAAATCCAATAATTCTACAATTCTACTACCCTATAGTTTGCACATAAAAAAGCAACTTGCATATAAAAACACCAACCCTAGGAAAAGCCATGCTATAAAACTTACAGAATGGTTTATCATTTCTCAAAGACGTATTGCATAAAGTTTGCATGTAAATATATTTGTGCAATATAATGAAATTAAAAGAAAAAATACAAAAATACGTTTCTCTTGAGATATGAAGAACTTACCATTCAGCTTGTTGTGGCTCAGGACCAGTTGGGTTATGTTGGATAAAGTGACTACAAAACAAAAACAATAACACGTTTAGTTGATGATGTCATTGCATGATGACGTCAACGTGATGACGCCACCAATCATATACTGTAAATAGAGACAACTTACTATAACAACCAATTGGTCACAGTGTAAACAGATAAGATTAAGTACCCACACTTTAATTAACATTAACACAACATAAAACTTTAAACTAGTATTATTTGATTTAAATCCAATAATTCTACTACCCTATAGTTTGCATATAAAAAAGCAACTTTTTTTACCTTGTACTTGGTTGTTTTCTAAATTGGATTTCGTATCTGAGATTCATGAAATAGCTTTTTCGACAATTATTTGCCTTCTAAGGAAATATCACAATCACTACCACCAACCCTAGGAAAAGCCATGCTATAAAACTTACAGAATGGTTTATCATTTCTCAAAGACGTATTGCATAAAGTTTGCATGTAAATATATTTGTGCAATATAATGAAATTAAAAGAAAAAATACAAAAATACGTTTCTCTTGAGATATGAAGAACTTACCATTCAGCTTGTTGTGGCTCAGGACCAGTTGGGTTATGTTGGATAAAGTGACTACAAAACAAAAACAATAACACGTTTAGTTGATGATGTCATTGCATGATGACGTCAACGTGATGACGCCACCAATCATATACTGTAAACAGAGACAACTTACTATAACAACCAATTGGTCACAGTGTAAACAGATAAGATTAAGTACCCACACTTTAATTAACATTAACACAACATAAAACTTTAAACTAGTATAGTAACTCTCTGCAGACTCACATAGTCCAGGAATATCCAGCAGGTTTGATATCCCTCTGTCACACATGTCCACCTCCGGTAGGTTCTTCTCCCGACTCTCCTCTACTATCTTCTTCAGAGACTTTGACATTTTCTGCAAGAAAATATTAGCAAATACAAGACCCGAATCAAGAAGAATCTCTACGAAGAGAGTTTTGCCACTTTTGCCTCAAATAGTGGTTCAAATCCAGTCATTACAAGCATATAAAGAACTCACTCAGTATCTACCTAACTGTACGGTAAATGCAGGGAAAACAGAAAACAAATATCCGAGCCCTCAGGGCAGTAAAACCAGATATTTTTGAAGCAGCACAGTCGCTCACACCCCAACCGGAAGTTGATAGTATGTCTGTAAAAGTCTCGCATTCCTTCCATAAAAGGGTATTTCCGGGGTCCAGAGCAAGGAAAAGAATGTCAGACAGACTTCTGCTCCGTTGTCCAATCAGCTGCTAGAAAGTCGGCGGGATCGTTGAAATAAGGCACAGATATGTCCAATCAGAACGCGTTCCGTTGCAACAGTGCGTATCATTCGACCAATCAATGAAAATGTGGAGGAGACGTGTGGAAAAGCATTCTGCCAATGCGCTTTCAAAGGTAACAGCCACCACACCACAGTGATGTGTACATATAATGCAAAAATAATGTTAGACTTGTTTCTGGTTAAATACTAGCTTTTAACCTGTTTGATTACAACAATAATTTACTTGTAATATTATAGGAAATTGTATAGGCGCCTACAGACATTGACGTATTGAACTAGTTCTGATTGTAAGTGTTAATCTTTAATTATTTTAAGATTGGCTCCAGACGTTTTTAATCAGTTTTTATTTAGTTATTCCCCTTGGATTCTTAATACTGCAGATCTCTGTCATGAAACTAAAAATCAATGCCCAGTTTTATGATTTTTCTTCATGATAAAATAACCCAGTACAGTTCAAGGTATAAAGTTTACATTTAATATAATGAATCCCAGTGTGCAGTCTTGCAGCCTGTTACAAACAGAATCTTGTGAATGAATGTGGATTTGATGTTTGTCAGTAGCTAAATTTTTAAAAATATATAATATAATTAATATATATTATTTTTGTATAATATAAATTTAGTAAAAATTATTTTATCCATCTTCAGTACTCTGACATATAACCTGAATATTAGTAATTTTATTACCATAGCCTATTGGTTTATTACTATCATATATTATAATTATTATAAATAAAATATTTCACACCAAAAATACATTTATTTATTTATTTCCAGTATAATGACAATTACTAAAATAGCCTAAAACTGAAATAAAAATTTACTTTACGTATTTTTAAACATGTTTAAAACAATAACCAATTAAAATAGTAAAAACACACAACAAGTTACTAAAACGTTAACTAAAATTAAAATGGAATTCAAAATGTTAAACAAAATTATAATATCTCAGTTACACTAAAATATCACTGGGTGTTATGCCTCTGTATGTTTTACTTGTGAGTTTTTTTTAATGATTTTAAAATAATTAATTACATACAGTACATTAACATAAATGAACAACACCTTAAAACAAATGCTACCAACATCCAGTGTGTATTTATGTAACTATATAAATATTATATTTACCTCAATATTAATTTATTTCATGTGACATTAGGGAATCCAGCAGCAGGTGTGGGCAGCTGTTGTCTACCACCCAGATCCCCAGCTATTACCTACCTTCAAAGGGAGACACATTGTTTAGACGTCTGCACAAGGTGGAAGAGCGATAGGAGTCTTCGCTGTCTCCTCCTTCTGGCATGGGGCAGAGGTACGGCGACACTTCTCTCTTCTCTTGGGTTCCTGTCGTCCCAGGTGGGACCATCCACAGACTGGATCTTGGTTCTTCCTTTGCCTGTCTCTCTCTGTCTGTGTCTGGTTCTTGCAGGGTTGACCATTTCTATGGGGGACTGAAAAACAGTGGCTCTATTTATAGGCTTGATTATATTTGGTGAGTGGCAACAGATGCTTCAGCGTGGTTGAACTTTGCTTTGCAGAGCGGGAGTTCTGGATTCCAGGAGCAAGGCTTGCTTATGTTGTAAAATCTTTAACCAACACCCTCGGCCAGAAGCCAGTGGAGATCGGACACAGTCAGACATGGCATGAGGGCACGGGGAGGTGTGTTTTATTACAATCTACATTAAGGAGCTGTAAGCACTTACACTTGCCCAAAGTGAGCACTGAGAATGTATGTATGTGTGACTGTTCTGCTGTTTGATTTATGAGGTGTTCTCAAATTATGTGCCTGAGGAACTTACTGTACCACGAGTAGAGCAGACCTCCAGCATATTACTGAATTTGAGCTCTGGTTTTGTCTGGAATGATTGTGGATTTTATGGCTTGTCAATTGTTTGACTTACTGAGAACTAGAGAACATTGGTTGAAAATTGTTAATTTTATGTTAATTTATGCTATTTACACTATTGAATATCAGTCATTTTGTTACCATAATGGATTTTTACCATGAAATATCACTTTTGTTATCACATTAAAAATTAAATGACAATAAATAAAACCAGTTATGAAATTTGTGTTATAAAATGGTCAGGAATATGTCCAAATCAGGGTTATAATTGTAGTTAACTAAAACGGAACCTAAAATTAAAACCACTAAAGAAAAAAGCATTACTTGAAATAAAATAAAAATCATATAATAAAACCAATGACTTCTGTTAGTTGCCAAGGCAACATTTCTCATTTTCATTTAGTTTAACTTGATGTACTAAATAACTAAAACTGAAATACAACAATAATAAAAAAATAAAAACTATATAGACATAGATTAAAAAATAATAAAAATGATAAAACACAACAAAATGAATAAAAATGGAAATGGAAAATATAATAAAAACTGATTCAAATATAAATAAAAATTATAAAAGTATCTATAATAGTACTAAAATAACACTGGTCCAAACATTTCATTCTAAAATCAAGTAAAAAACAGTTTATATATATATATATATATATATATATAAACACTTCTTTTTTTATCTTCTCTTATTTTTATCTGCGTTATTATAGACAGAAAATATCAATTCTCCACTGCATCAATAGTAAATTTCTCCCGAGGCTCTTTTCTTGCACTGTTTCCAAGGTCAACACATTTTTATTACTCATAGCTTCTCATGAACTTTGACCCTGTTAAGTTACGGAAAAGCCGTTTTAAAATGATTGCGAAAACCGTGAGAAAGGCCTTAATACAGATGTTAATGTCTCAAAAGCTCTGTTTTTCTGTTGATCAGACTGCTGGGACCTCTTTTCCCAGACATTTCTTTGACATTGATGGGAGCAGTTTGCAGAGTTTAGAAGAAAGAAATGAAATATTAGATGAAATGTTTGTTTGCGTTCTCTATATAGAAGCATTGCATGAAGAAAGCTGAAGCCTGTCTCCCTCTACAGAGCAGACAGACCCATTAGCGCTGTCCGATCTGCCGCACACAGCTTTTATCTCCCTCCGAATGTGCCATCTCTTTATTTTCACCCGTAGCCTCTGTCTGAGGATATCAGACAGATGAAAATATACCAAACACTTAAAAAAACAGCCAAGCATTCACAGCTTTTGTATGCATATTGATTTGTGTAGTTGACACTGTTAGAGACACACACACTTCCAAGAGACTTTTCCATTGAAAAATCCAGAGAAAAATCACAAAAGAGATCTTTTTAATGTCTTAATGATTTTATGACTGTCCCTCAAAAAAAGCCCTGACTTAAGAACAATAAAACTAGAACTTCATTAAACATCTTTATTTTCCAAAAAGGCATCAAAAATACATACATAAATTCATTCTTTACACAATAATCTACAAATAATGGTTCATATTGCATTATTTATGTGACTGTTTACATGATTGCAAAGTGTGTTCACAAGTTTCAGTGTGTGCGTGTGTGTATGTATGAATATTTATTTTTCAAATTTCTTCTCAGCTGCTCCAGGTGAGTCTGAACCCAGACGGGAGAACGGCAGACTGGGCTGAGAACTTCACAAACACAAGGTTTGAAGAAGCTCTGAAAGGAGCGATATTTGTCTCCTGCAAAAAAAAAGCAAAGAACAATTACATATCCATATATCATTTGAGTATATACACACTACTGTTCAAAAGTTTTTGGCTGGTAAGAATGTGGAATGTATTTATTTGATCAAATATACAGTAAAATATTGTGAAATATTATTTCAATTTAAAATAACTCTTTTCTATTTGAATACATTTTAAAATGTAATTTATTCCTGTGATGCAAAGCTGAAATTTCAGCATTATTACTCCAGTCTTCAGTGTCACATGATCCTTCAGAAATCATTCTAATGTGCTGATTTGCTGCTCAAGAAACTTTTCTTATTATTATCAATGTTAAAAACAGCTGTGCTGCTTCATATTTTTGTGAAAAAACTGATATACATTTGTCAGGATTCTCAGATGAATGGAAAGTTCAAAAGAACAGCATTTATTTGAAATAGAATGAAATAGAATCAATCTCACCCTTGTTTGCTGAATAAAAGTAATACATAGGTAGAATATATAGTAATACAGATGCTAGGAGTGTAATTTTTTTTCACACATACCGTTCCACAGTACGGCCCAACAACAGGTGAATTAGCATCCGGTCCATCATACAGCTTCAAGAAGTTGTTCTCACAGTCTCCTGGATCATCAATGCTGATCTGGTTGAATGTGACCGTAACCACTCTGCCGCTAGGAGCCCTAATTCCCCACTCACAGGAAGTGCCGTTGGCGTAAGTGCCAGGGTAGTTTGGACTGGCGAAAGAGCCGTGGTCTCCATATAACACACCACCACAACCTGGACACACAAAAGAAACGCAATTAGCACTCGCATAAAACCTTTAGCAGTGTTGGACTGTCTGAGGCAATCGTAATATAACAAGCGTTTGTGTTTACCCTGTGGAGAGGAAGTCCAGGTGATCTCAAAGCCATTACGGGCTGTAGTAAAGTCACTCTTGAAATATAGGAAGAGCTGGTTGCTTCCTGGGAAGACAGGATTGGGCAGTGTGCTTCCACAGTACTTCCCTAACAGAGGCGATGTGGCAGTACTGCCGTTTCTGACCTACATCAGCAGAAATAAACGTACATTAAACAGCTACATTATCATCATCACAACATAGTGCCATACTATTATTACCATACTTCTAGTATTTCTGCTGTATGTATGTAATACTCGGATCTGCATCTGCATTTACCCAAATGTGCGGCAAAGGAGTATACTGCACTGGGTACTACCGGTATATCCCATAATGCAATATACTCGCCTTGACACCTAATTACCAATGTGACATTGACAAGCTGAAGTAATATTGGCTATGATTGAAAAAAAAATAATAATAATTAAACCAATTGTTTTGTTTTGGGCAGTTTTTTTTATTTTTTTTTTTATTTTATATTATTTGTGTAAAACAAAAACTGGGCACAGCTTGCTGAATTAAACATGAACGTAATTAGGTCATGTCAATGTTATGTTAATTTTATTTACAGGCAATTATAGTAGTTATTGATATTTTGAATTAGCTTTTATTTTTATATTTGCAGTTTAATTTTAGTTTAAGGTTTAGTAATTTTATGTTTTTTGTCATTTTTATTAGATTTTGTTCTTTAAACATTTCTATTTAGCTTTAATTTAGATTTATTTCAGTTTTTAGTTTTAGCCATTTTAGCACTTCAACACAAACTTATTTTAATTCGTATTCTACTTATTTACTAGGGGCGCATTTCAAATTTTCATGTTTTCCTTTCAATATTTTTAATTGACATTTTTTTATTTCATTTCAGTTAACGAAAATTATTATAGTTTTCGTTTTAGTTTACAGTAACAACGTTAGATGATCAAGGCAAGTGACTACTGCTTGAAAGGTTTCGTTTTATTTATTCATTTGTTTGTTCGTTTTTATTAGCATGTAGTATTTAGCGTATACTGCATTTTCATTCTATAAGTGTTTACACATTTTTCTTCTCATTGCTGTTAATCTACATTGATTTATGTACCTTCAGATAATCCTGGGATAATTAGGATTGAAACGGTTATTATTGTTAACTAAAACATTTTGTTAATTAAAATAAAGCTGAAATGAAATAAAATAAAATACAAATATCGGATGTTTAAGCTGAAGCATTGAAATTACCAACAGAAAAGAAAAAACTAAAATGAAAACTATAATGGAACAAAAACTAAAACTGAAATAAAAACAAATAAAAAAAATTATAAAAATGACAAAAGCACAAAAAAATTCAACTTAAAATAAAAAAAAAAAATCAGATTTTTTCTATTACTCAGGCTATGTCCATAATTAAATCCGATATATTTGAAAACAGTGTTTTTGTCTCAAACCACTCTCCATTCTGCTGTGCTTTCCCATTTTTTCTTCACATTGCTGTTAATCTGGTGGCAATTCAGTATGTTTATACTCACCTCAAGATAGTCGAAGTTGCAGGAAGGATGATTTTCCACATCAAATCTGGTGAAGAACAGAGAGATGGCGCTGTTCTGAGGGGCCTGCAGTACGACGCTGCATTCAAGACTATGAGGGTATATGTCAGGCCAGCCTGGGCTCTTCAGGTAACCGTATTCCTGTTCATACACCCTGCTGCAACCTGCAGATACGTAACGTTCAGACATAATATAACCACACCAGCAAGAGTAAAACACTTCTAGTAATCATAGGGAAAGGACTCACCTGCCACGGATGATTTTCCACATCAAATCTGGTGAAGAACAGAGAGATGGCGCTGTTCTGAGGGGCCTGCAGTACGACGCTGCATTCAAGACTATGAGGGTATATGTCAGGCCAGCCTGGGCTCTTCAGGTAACCGTATTCCTGTTCATACACCCTGCTGCAACCTGCAGATACGTAACGTTCAGACATAATATAACCACACCAGCAAGAGTAAAACACTTCTAGTAATCATAGGGAAAGGACTCACCTGCCACCTGATATGTGAGGCTGAATCCGTCGCCAGTCATGAAGACATCTGATTTGAAGGTGATGTGCATGGTGCGGCCATAACTGTAGAAGTCTGGCACATGTGAGTCAGTGCCGCAGAACTTATGAGCCTGTCCATAATCTCCCTGAGAGACAAAAATTCAAACAAAAAATGTTAAGACATTCTGCTGCCAAAATACAACTTGAAAGTTGTAAAGTGAAGATAGCAAACTTCATTAAACTTGAATATGTTACTGTATGATAAATGGCAGTGGAAAGATAGAAAGATATAGTAGAAAACTATGTTTAAATAAGATGAAATAGTAAATCTAGAAATAATAATCATAAAAAAATTACTTATATATATATATACAGTATATACTGTGTATATATACAGTGGTGTGAAAAAGTTTTTGCCCCCTTCCTGTTTTTTTTAATTGTTTGCATATTTGTCACACTTAACAGATTCAGATCATCAAACAAATTTTATTATTACACAAAGAAAGCCTGAGTAAATACAAACTGCAGTTTTGAAATTATGATTTCATTTATTAAGGGAAAAAAGCTGTCCAAACCTGCCTGGCACTACGTGAAAAAGTAATTGCCCCCTAAATATAATAACTGGTTGTGCCACCCTTTGCAAGGGGGCAAAAACCTTTTCACGGCACTGTATATATATATAATTTTTTTCCACAATATTTTAAATGCATATTTGAGATCAAGTGACAAATACAATAAGGTCAAGAAAATGCACACGACTGTTTGAAATGTTTAGTTGTTATTTAAAGAAAAAAATAATAGGCAGTATTAATAAACTAATTTTATTCTGAACGGATTTTACTGCTATGTAAACAGTGCTTTGTTCTGCAATCCAGTGTAATCTTGGGACAATTAGGATTGTTATTATTGTTGTTAACTAAAACTATTAAAAACATTTTGTTAATTAAAATAAAGATGAAACTAAATAAAATACAAATATTATATGTTTAAGCTGAAGCCTTGAAATTAAATTACTAACTGAAAAGAAATGAAAAACTATAATGGAACAAAAACTAAAACTGAAATGAAAAAAAAAATAATAATAATAATAAAAATGACAAAAGCACAAAAATGTAAATTATATTTAAATAAATATTACATGTAAAATAAAAAAATAACTAATAACAAGACTATGTCCACAATTAAATCAGATAGATTTGAAAACTGTGTTTTCGTCTAAATACGCTCTCCAAATGTATCCACATTTTCAAATTTATCCACTTAGCATTTTCAAATTTATCCACTTGGCAAATCGTCTTCAAAAAGCTCTAATTTTGCTGGACTAGATCATTGTCTCATTGTAAATAGATAAAAAAGATGTGGACTAGCCTACATTGTCTCATCAAATTTGATAAAAAGAAGCAAACTAGCCTAACAAAATGATCAGCCATTGTGACCTGAGAGATTCTATATTGTTTGAGTTATTTGGTGAAGCTGTGGTCGGGCGATTGATTGAGTCTCACCACAGGGAAGTCTTTAAACTCCAGGAAGTTGCTGGTGCAGCTCTGGCTGGAGTCCAGATGAAACTGCTGAACAGACACTTTCACCACCTCCTGAGAAGGAGCATCCAGCACCCAGCGGCAAGAGGCGAACGGCGGGTAGGCGTTGGGGTAATATGGGGATGTGATGGTCTGAGATGATGCTGTGGCATTGAATGCTCCACCACAAAGACCTAAAGTATGGGAAAGCATTTTTGCATGAGTGATTCAAACCTGCGGTGATAAAAGCATCAGGATATAAAGTTTAATCTTACGGTCCACTGTGCTGTAGGTGGCAATGAAGCCACGGCGTTGAACAGTGCCGTCCGAGATGAAGTGCACAGTCAGGAAGTTACTGGCCGAGACGAAGGGGGCAGGTACTACATCTCCACAGAATGTGCCAACCAGTGGATAACTAGCACTGTCACCATCATAGATCTGGAGATGGGTAAGATGTAAGTATAAAGATATAGAGTGTTCTGTGTTGGAAATGATGCTGCATTTTAATTTGTTATATTATATGTGACAGCTTTTACCTTGACATAATCATATCTGCAGAGGGTTCCAGTGGAGTCTTCGAGCTCAAAGGATGTGAATGTGAGGTTAATGCCTTTATTGACCTCCACTGCAATGGTCCACATACAGTCCATACGTGGCTCGTACTGACCATTCATGTCAATATCAGGAGAACCAAACGTTCCGGTAGGGGAAGAAGACAAGTAACCGCCACAGCCCTGCTGAGGACCTGGAGCAAACCATGGATGAGGAGATAGAAAGAGAGAGTGAGAGAGATTTACAACAACTGTAGGATGTGCTTTCAAGAAACCACCTGCAAGAGGCAGTAGAGTCCACAAAAGTGACAAAATGTGAGTTTTTGTCTTTTTGTCTTAGATTCAAAGCCTAATGTAGAAGTTGTCCAAATGAACTATTAGCAGATTTATTTCAAATAATAAAAAAGCAGATTAAATGTACTCATCTTGTTCTCAAGGCGTACACATTTTTGTCCAAACAAATATTCTTTGAATAAGAACGTCCTTCTGCATGATACCATGTGTCTCTGACTAAAAGTAAAACTAAGCTAAAACTAACATTTAAGTTAATATTATATGATGTTAATATTACAATAATATATATATA